TCCCAGAGTTCTGGCATTACAGGTGCACAGGTACCTGTAATGTTGATAGAATCATTAGCTGTGCCTAACGCCACAATCATCAGTATTAGTTGGGCCTTTGCTGAACTTGATAATGTTTTCTGTCATGAGGAGAATTGAAATGGAAGCCAGGTAGGAGAAGCTGGGATATATGTTGTCAAATTCTGATGTAAAGGTATTATGTAATTAGGCATGTTATTGTTCAGTTTCTGGCAAAGGACCCCAGGCCCCTATAAGTCTGTTCTCCTTTGTCCCAGATGTAGTGTGTGTTTTAAGGATGGATTATGGACTGATGCTGCCTCTGGCTCACAATCCACTGCTTCAACCCCTTGAACTCCAAGTCTCCATTCGTGTCTGTCCTCCTGCGGAACTCCCATCTGTTTAGAGCTCTCCTTTCACTATCATGCTTCTCTTTCACTATCTCAGTCTGCTGGGTTAATGGTCTCCTCCTCTCTCCCCTGGCTGCTCACAGATGAAGCTCTTATCACTCTGACCAACTGCGAGCTCATCATCAGTAGTAGTGCTTCACCCACATTAGTATCCCTCCCAAGACAGCATGCACGGTGCTCTGCACATGGTACATGACAGTCACTTGACTTTGGATGTGGAAAGGGGATGTTAGAGCTCTGCGCCTAAAGAGGAAAATGATGCTTTGATAGATTGTAGCTTGCCCCAGATGCGTGATAACTGACTTTTGCATTGACTATTAACAATGCACTCACTAGACGCATAGCGTAAGTAAAATTGTAAAGGAGATGTTCAGTAGATTTAGAAGAAGCTTTCTAAGGGCTTAATCACTTTGTCTATGTGCAAATATATCCTGAGAAACACAAGTGAGTGTGATAGGACTGGCGGAACGTTTTGTTAGCAGCCAGCTCATGCGTCTCCTTGTACTTTATAAACGTCCTCTAATTTAGGCTGCCCCATTTCAGACTGACTGGCTCCCCTTTTCCTCCCCACCCCCACCCGTTAGTTTGAATTAATGAGATCCTATTGAATAGTTACTGAGTTGTTTCCGTTCTAATCTTCAGACATCTCCCCATTGAGTTTACCAAATAATTCAACTCTTTCACTTAAAGCTGCTTAGACTTGCATAACTTGGGTAGATAACTCTGATAGGAAACAGCTATAGACATTGCTGTCTACTCAGTAGCAGGCCGATTTCTAAGATACCCTCTCCTTACTCATTTCTACTGTGCTAGCATCAAAAGGTTTTACTGAAAGTCAGCTTGACTGCCCAGGCACGTGCTGTTCTTTACTTCTCCAGTTAGGGTCACAATTGCGTTCCACTTCAGCTCTACCATTTGCTAACAGTGTGATCTTACGCAAGTTGTGGTTTTCAACTTTGTAGTAATTCTAAGGATGAACAGAAGGTGAATTTCTGTGTGTGTGTGTGTGTGTGTGTGTATGTGATTAACTGGGGAGGGAGGATGAGAATTTTTCTAACAAAATTGATAGGTTGAATGGCATGACATCTGTGCTCCCACATCTGATCTCCAAACCATGATTTTGAGTCACAGTCAAGATTTTCCATTTTCTCGTGGAGGGTACTCTCATTCCTTCAATATTGAAATGATTGTCTTTGAAGCCTCTGTCTTGTCATGATTTTTCCTTTATACCGGTCAATGGATCTCTGCCACATTCTTATGGATCAGTGCCTTCACATATAATTTGAGCAGTTCTCCAGTGATATTTTTCAACTTTTTGAAAAATATTATGCTTTAAAAGTATTTCCAACTTTATTTTGAATGATTTGGGTTCAGTGTGCACCATTTGGTAACCACACCTAGACTAAAGTAAACAAATTGCAAAAACAAAGCAAAACCCTGCCCCAAACCCTCTTTCTGTGCAAAGATGCAATAGATGGAGGGTAGATGCTGGCAGTAGGTGGAGGCAAAGGGCAGGAGGGTGCATGGGGAGAGCATCGCTCATCGGAGACTTACTTTGGTGGATGATCAGTTCATTTTTGAATGTTTTTATGTTTAAGTAGCTTTCACTTTATTTGTAACAGCAGCTACTTGGAAATAAATGTTCACGTAACAAGGGCCCCCTGTAGCTTCTCAAGGCAGCGGAGAGGATCATCTGAGATGATGTTTGCAGAATATTTAACATAGTGTTTGGATTACGTTAGCTCTCCAAATGCAGTTATGAATAAGGTTGATAATATTCTTTGAGCATTATCTGCTAATTGATTTTATAAAAGGCATATTAGATAATGATTGTTAACATATCCAGACAAAATTAAAGTCATGGTTTTTATAGTCACTCTGCCTTAGAATATTTCATTTAAATGCACAAATATGAGCAACCCAGAATTTTATAAAGTGAAGAATTGATTTTTATAAGTTGAATGTTTATCTTCTTCTTTAAAACTATTTTAGGCTGTTTGAAGTGGTCTAATTTTTAAAGAGTTATCTAGAAATCTAAGATACTGAGATATTATATATTCTTCATGAAATAAATCTAAAATACTGTGTCTTTTGCATCTTGATATTCTTTTTATATTTTTCCCCCCTTGGGGGGGAACAAACTTACAAAGTAGTGATTGTCTACTGAGACCCAGCTCATCCTGCCAGGATCTGCCAGCAAGACTTTGGAAATATGTTGACATTTGCTTTCCTAAGAAGCATTTTGAAAAATGTATGATTTTTAAAAACATTTGAATGTGAAAAATTTAGGAAGTGCAGGTGAAGTTAAGCATTAGGAAATAAAATGAAGTGTAGGACGTGACGTACATGCAGAGGGAAGGCATGCTACTTCAAGAGCTTTGGCAGCTGCAGCTTGCCTGGCAAATGCAAACCTGCTCATTAAACTTGATGTAAACAGGGACACAACATAGTGTAGCCACCCAGCTCTGTAGGGGAGCACAGAATTTGCTGCTTTTTACTGTGAAAGAGGAACTTCTTTGGGGGCAAATCCAAATGCGAATATAAATTAAAATACAATTCAGTTTGAAATTTGTTAATTGTATTGGGTAGATTATTTTCCCCAAATTATTTTCTCTGCAGCTCGTTGCAGAAATTCTGGTAGGGGTTTTGGAAACGTTGAGACTGGGGCTGAGAACTCTTAACGTCTTCTGTTAGAATGCATGCGTCAGAGGGAGGCATCCTCTTCAGCCAGGGAACACTTTAAAACCAATTTCAGAGTAAACAGTCATAAGAACAAGACACTCAAACTGAAGTGTTGCAAAGTATTAAATTACCAAACCAGGATTGTTAAGAATGGTGACACATAATTTAATTTTGTTTTCTTGAGGAGTGATAAGTGACTTCTCTGAAAAACACAGTAACGACTGCTCCATATGTTTCTTTACAGTTTCTATATGGAAAAATGGCAAGATGTAGGGTAGGCAGCAATAATAAGCTGTGAGTTACTAAGTATAAGGTCAGATGTGCTGAGCCATATCACAGTGCACATTTGGGGCAGGCTTATTGATGCCAGTGATCTGGTGCTGGCTGACAAGCAAAAGTATGGGGAAGCCAGAGCCTTCCTCGAACCCAGGGATGCAGGGGTTCACATTGGAGTCCAGCACATGTGTGCCTCCTCGCCCTGTAAATGTGGACCTACACAGGCTCCTGTGAGCTCAGAGTATACCACAGTCATTGCCTAAGTGTGCTAAATGGAGGAAACCACTAGGAAGACCACCCATGGTCTGACAAGTAGGGAAAAGAAAAAGGCCTAGGAGCAGATCATCCCTTACTGAGAAAATAAAACGTTAGCATGTATCTTATTTAATGTATCTATTGGTAAATCATACTAGTATAATAATGCCCATTCTAAAACACACAAAAATGAAGATACTGAGGGAGGTTAAACAGGATAATAATTTTTCTGTGAATAACTCTTCTTGTTCTTTCTATAAACATTAGTATACAAGAGATGATAGGAATCTATGACATGATTAAATTAAAAGTGTATTGCAGTGAAAGATATATTGCCATTGATTCCTCTCAAAATACTCCCCCTCACTTCAAATACCTTTGTCCCGTCACTCTTGCCACTTTCTGAAGCAGTCCTGCAAGTCCTCTTTTATGAGTGTCTTTACAAGGTGTGATAAAACATGTGGTGAATGGTGAACGCTGCCGCTGGGCGCCATCCAATGGCAAGGCAGGCTTTTAAAAACACTACAGTGTGTCTTCACCCACCTTATTTACTGGATCTGGTATAGTGTGACCTCTAGCTCTTCCCCACATAAGTTAAAGGTTTTGAGTTATTTTAGGACATGGAGGTGGTCACAGTAGTGCAACCAAAGACCCAAAAGAGGATTTCCAGGACTGCTTCAGAAAGTGGCCAGAGCAGTGGGATATGTGTGTCCTGGAAGTCCTCTTTTGTGTCTTTGGTTACACTACTGTGGCCACCTCTTGTCCTAAATTGACTCAAAACATTTACCTTACGCGGGGAAGAGCTAGAGGTCACATGGTGCCAGATCCTTGGCTTTCAGAAATATTCCTGTTCTGGGATAACATCTGAGATCATAGGATTTCCTTATATATGTACAAGAATGAAAGGAGGGCAGGGAGATAATATACTTTATTTATTTCTTTTTGTGGTGCTGGAGATAGAACCTAGGGCCTCCCGCATGGTAGCAAAGGCTCTGCCACTGCGCTCCATCCCAGTCCTCTTTATTCTTTGGTTATACTTTCCTGGCGCATTGTCCCCTCCCTCCACAATGACGCGGATGCCTGAGCTGGGGGCCACTGAGAGCTGTGAGGGCCAGTTGGTTGCTGGGATCGCCTGCACTAACAGCTGTCATTTATTGCTCTCATTGCAGATGCAGAAGCCATGGAGTTGAGCTGCAGGGAAGTTCCTCTTTACGTAAGTCCCTAAGCACTGGGCTTCAGGTCCATGGTACCTTCTCCTAACTCGAACCGTGTGCCTGAAGGGAGAAGAAATGTTTTGTTTGCTACTGAGTCGAGGCTTTTTAAGAACAACACCTGAATATCACTGTCTAGTACAAGTATTTGCATAGAGCCTTTTGCAACTGGTTGGCTCTTGTTTCCAAAGCCCGAGTTTTACCTGTATTTCCCTTAGAATACTATCTATAATTTCTGGACTCATAAACACTCAGTGCCCTTACAGGGGTAAGTTTTGAACATATTATTTTATAATATCCAGTGATGGTCAAAAGTGTCTCTATGGTTTTTTTTGTGGGAGGGGAAGATGGTTTGGTGATGATTGTATCTAAAAATATGAGCTAGTGGGGCTGGGGATTTAGCTCAGTGGCACAGCGCCTGCCTGGCAAGTGTGAGGTCACGAGTTCAATTCCTGATAACAGAAAAAAACCAAAAAAGAATATGAGTTAGGAACTCAAAGGGCCAAGTGCTGGGACACATGCAGAAGAAGTGGGGGCTTAGGGACAGATACTCAATGAGATTTCCAGTCAGATGTGCCCTCTAGGTCGAATGAAGATTCTAATTTGGAGACCAGTTCCTTGGTACAGCCGGGAAGGAAACTGGTTCCTCACACATAAAATGGCGGATGACCTCATCTTTGCTCCTCCCCTGGGCAGGAGCTGCGTTGGTGGTGGTGGGCCTGGACAGGCGGGTATGGGTGTATAAGGTAGCTGTGGTTTAGCACTAAATATTAAGGAGTGGGAGGAAGGTAACCAGAAATTTTAACTGATAAAAATGTATTCATCCGTCTCCCACACTATACTACCCAGCTAGCACACACATGCTCCATCCCTTCCTCCATACACTGCCTAGGCCACTCTGTTCTCAAAAGGAGGACAAGATAATAAAATAAATGGATTTCAGAATCATGAAAGAGCTGCCTGCCAGGTTACCCAGTGGTCTATAGTTTTCTCATTAGATTATGATTTGCAGAACATAAAATGTGCTTGGGGGCCAGGTATAATTAAAGATAAAAAAGGAACTGGCTGGAGGCTAGATTGTTAAGTGCTCCCGAGTCCTGCTGTTGTTTTCCAGGAGCGCGCCTTCCTGTTTCTCTGCCTTCCAAACAGACTGTCTCCAAATCTAACCATGGTATAGAACATTGCACTTGACCAATATCCTTGCGTGGCTGTTTGAACACAGACCTATTAGATTGCGAACAGACTAGGGGAAGAGCTAATAATACACATTGCCTAAAGAGATAAGACATTTAAATGAGTCAAATTCACACATAAAGTTTTACAATTGAAAGTATACCCATTAGAATAAAAATGAAAAGTACAGAAAGGTATTGAGAAAATGTGTCAGAATCTTACCCTCTATAAGTATTGTATTGAGATGTTAATATATTATCAATTCTAAGGAGCAGTTTTTTTCTCATTTTATTCTGATCTGAGATGTTTTTACATTCACTGTGCATCCTGGCAGATTCTTTATGCACCTGTGACCTTGGTCACAAGGTTCATGTAAGTTCTTTGCTTTTTACTTAATAAATTGATTGCTCTCAAAATGATTTTGCCATGATTTGGGGCTAAAAGGCTAAGCTGTTATGTATCCAGAGAGACATGCAAACAGCAGCATGGAGCATGATAAGTGATGTATAAATTAATTTAGAAGAGTTTATTTCATAAGTATATCTTAGTCAATAATTCTAGGTAATTAAACATGTCATACTTGGCATTTTCCTTTTTTAATGGATTATAAAATGCCTATTATAATTGATGGTATCTTAGATGAAAAACATTAAATATGTTTTCATAAGTGATTCTTCCTCTTTACATGGGTTGTGTCCTGCTTTTCATACTCACCTTTTTTAGTGGTAAACATTACTGCAAACTGCCTTAGGTCCATCTGGCTATTTGGCCCCTTCCCCAGGAAGAAGTCAGCAGGAGTACGTTGTAGTGAAAAGTACTCTTAAACAAAATTTCACCAAATGAGCAATGTGCATCCAGTGCAGGTATGAAAGCTGTGCCACGGTTTGTCTCTTTGTCATGGGGGCCGGCCTCTGCTCTGCTCTTCCAAGAACTTTTGGTTGGTCCACTGCATCTGTGGGCTGCGCATCCACTTTTTCAACCAACCACAGATTGCAAATATTTGGGAAATCTGCATCTGTGCTGATTCTTTTTCTTGTCATTATTTTTGAAACAATATAATACAGCAGCTATTTACATAGAAGTCACATTGCATTAGGTGTTATGCAGAACCTAGAGATGGTTTAAAGTACAAGAAAGGATGTGTGAGGTTGTATGCAAATACTATGTCATTTTATGTAAGGGGCTTGAGCATCAGTGAATTTTGTTATCCATGAGGGGCACTGGAACCCATTCCTTATGGATACCAGGGGCAAATGTATTCTCTTCTAGAATTGGGGTGGCATCTTACAATTACATACTATTTCTATGCATAATTTTATATTGGTGCCCTGGAAAAAAAATCTCATCACAACAGTCTTTTAAAAATCAATAAACAAGATTTGTCTCAAGGATAATTAGACCTGTTGAGCATGGTAGTGCAGGACTGTGATCCGAGCACTCTGAGAAGCTCAGGGAGGAGGACGCCAAGTTCTAGCCTAGTCTGGACAACTTAGTGACTTAGAGAGACACTGTCTAAAAAATAAAAAAGACTGGGGATGTAGCGCAGTGTAAAGGCTCTGGTTCAATCCCCAGGTAGTAAAAAAAACCAAATAAGATTACTTAAATGGATGCGTAATCTTGGAAGAAAAAGAAAGGTAGAAATCATTCTCCAGTTTCTTCTATTCATCTTCTTGGAAAAGGGTACCTCGTTCAAATGGGTTTATAAGTGATTTTTTATCCTGTTGACTATAAATTGTTTTGACTGGATTTTTATAACATTCTTATAATTAAAAATGTCAGAGAACCGTTCCTAAAGATGACAGATGTCTTTATACCTATAGATGAGTTACGGATGTAAATCTTGCTTTTTTAAATTCCTCATGTAACTTGCTTGAATCTATGAAGAAAACTTTCAGTTTTTAAAAGATTTCCTTTGTTGTACCTTCCTCTATCGTTTTCTCCTTCTAGAATAACTAATATTCAAGGACTGCACTGTTTTGTCTTTGGGGGTTGGGGTTGAATTCTTGAAGCAGGTCTTTATCTTTGTTTTCTAGTTAAGTTTTGTTGTGTCTAGTTTTTGTTTTTTCCTACTTGCCAGCACAGTTTTAACTTCTACTGTTTTTGGTTTTAGATAATATTTTTGGACTGTGTTGGCTTTTTGGTGTCCACAGTTTCACAGAGGCTATGTATTATCTCATGAACACAAAGCAGGACTTAAAATTGTTTTTCTGTCTTCCCAAGAATCTGTCCCAGAAGGAGGTGCAGCCCTGATTGTGTCTTGTGGTGTAGGCTTTTCTGGCTCATTTCTGTTTGCTCATCTTTGGAAAGACTCTGTCTTAGTCTTGGGGATGTAGAGGTGCTCTTGAATTCAGCCACAGGCTCATTCTAATTTGTCAAATGCAGTAAACCATGGTGCTGAGGGAGCTGTCACTGCAGGAAAAGAGGAAGACTGACTGTGTAATAAGAGCAGGGAAGAAGCAGGTCTGGCAAGACTGGTGGCTGAGACTTTTCTATTGTTTTGCAGAACTTTGGGATGTGAGTACCATAAATCCAGTTTGGAACCTTGTAGCAGCTCCTTGCATCTGTGCTCAAGGGGACCCCAAAGGCCAGCTCTGGAAGGTCAGGCTGTTTGTTCCCAGCAGAAAAAGATAGCAGAGGCCTGTGGTCTGTTTAACAGCCATGCTGAATTTTTACATTTGGTCATCACCTGACATGAGGAGGTGTGTTCTAAGCCTGGAGAGATGCAGTAGTGAGTCTCAGGGGCCTGGGGAAGCCTGGGAAAGTGTGACTTAGAATCCAGGCACCCCATCTGGGACGCTCGTGTTCTGGCTTAAGCTCTGTGCGTGACATGGCTTGGGTGCCTGAAGATCCTGTACTAGAAGTGATAAAGTTCCCTTGATTTTGTTTGGTTTCAGCTTATTAACTGTAGCCTTTTTTTGTTATTTTCTGGTCTGTACATAAAAATATATAGGAAGCAATGCAAAGGCAGCTTAAGAGGATTCATTTTGCTTACTGTGTATTTAATTTTTTTTTTTTTTTTTGAGACAAGGTCTCACACTGTAGTCTAGGCCGGCCTTGAACTCACTCAGCAGCCCAGGTTGACTTAAAACTCGTGGTGATCCTCCTGCCTCAACCTCCCAAGTGCTGGGATTACAGGTGTGTGCCACCCCACTCGGCTTTAGTTGGATTTTTAAAAGAAAATGTTTGCATTTACAAAGCAGTTGTATATTTTGAAAAGTGAACTTTAAGCATATTTTTATGTCCCTTTTTCTAAATTTTTGTGAATCAGAAAGTTGTAAAGAAAATACAGGTTCTACTTATTCTCCTATCCAAGATCTTCCCTTTTTTATAGTTCGTTTTTAGTCTTACATACAATATAATTTAGTATTAGTCTTCTGAAGATATCAACTTAGTGCTATGAACAAAACAGAAAAGCTCTTTCTTAAGAAATTGTTGGTTTCAAAAGTTTTTTCTCCCTCTTTCTTAATAAAATGGTTTTGTTTTAAATTATTGAAGTAATACTTGTTCATTATAAAGAATATAGTCATAAGTAAAGTAATAAAGGATAAAGATTATTTGACATTTCATTTCTGAAATAACTTCCATTAGTTTTCTGGTGACAGTCGTTTTCCTTTTAGGAATTTGATTTTGCATGTGTTTTTTTTCTCTCTCTCTCTCTCACACACACACACACACTCTGCACTTTCTATGCATGGGATCATATGGAAAAGCTGTTATTCCATCTTGGACATTCCCACATATTCCCTTTTTCCATTCCTCCCTTTTCAGTCTTTCTGGTAACTCTTATGGATAAGAGTGGTTCATAAAGCATCCACATTCCCTTGGCAAT